GTCCCGCACGACTCCTCCCGGTCGTACCGGTTTAGGAGAGTTGCGACTAATTTTATTAATTTTATTAACAGCTAAAGTAAAAACGCCAACTGCTAAATTGAGCAGTGAACAAATTACTAATGCAGACATTCGAAGTAAATAATCAAAGCCTAGCTTCTACTTCCACTTCGACTTGTAGTAATATAAATTCTATCGTATTACTATGTTTAAATACGTGCCAAGTATAAATTTTAATTATTTATACTTAAACTGCGTTCCTTTATTTTGTATCAATAATGCGATAACGAAACGCTAACTGAATACTTTAACGTGTCATAAAATTCTGGATAAAGAAGAAATAAATAATAACGCAAATTAGATAATTTCTATAAATTGTATGTAATTGTATAGATATAATTGTATATAATTCTCTGATAACAGAAAACATAAAAATAACAGGAATCTATATGATACTTCTAATGCGAGTCGTATACAATGCAGCAATGATTTATACCATTGTGGCTTATCAACGCGATAAGAGCAGCTGCTGTCAAATGCGTGCCCGCGCGCGTGACGATACCAATTGTCTAATTAATTCCGTTGTAAGGAAGGGAAGCCCACGATTCGCAGCGACGGTTCTAATATGGTTGCCCACGGTGTTACTTCACTACTTTTTCCTTCGTTACGATTCTATCTATGCTGTCTGATCACGGAGCCGTTTCGTAACGTGCAAATCGAAGACAGCCGGAGGCGGCTGGCCGCTCATCCGCGTGTACGCGAAGGAGATACAAGCCGGACGTGGTCCGGCAATAAACGCGAGCGTGACTGATGCCCTTTTATTTGTACCGCACGACTTTCCCTATTATTACTATACGAAGATCTTGGCGAAGAAAGCGCCAAATGGCCGCGAAGCTCGCCCGCCCAGATTCGCGAGTAATCACTGACCATTGATTCAAGTGAGTTTATTTCGAAAGTAGCGTGCATTTTTTTCAAAGCAAACAGCCGCAAATCCTATGACATCTCTACAAATTGCAATTAAATTATCTTAATATTACATCATGTTTCTTAGAAAGTTAATTCGTTCTAGAGCATAAATTTCATCTCATAATTCTCTTACAAATGAATTTTCGGAAATCTCGTTAAAGTACATATAAGTGGGTCACGAATCAATTTCCTCTCCTATCCTATTTCGCGAGTCTCAAACTCGAAACTAGGCCACTCGCAAATTAATCTCGCCTGCTGGTATCGAGTATTTTCAAAATTCCAAGAAGCCAGAAACAAACGATCAATCAACTTCACGCGGTCGGCAAACTTCGCGGATATTATCGCGTGCTAATAATAATAGGTTTCTTTCGCGCCGATTCCATTTCGCGCGCAGGAAATTTGTGAACGATAAGCGAAATACTCCACGGCGGCTATCAGATTCTTGCGGAATCCGATGACGTGGTGTGAACGATGGGTTGGATCTTTCTCTCTCTCGGAACGGCAAATAAACCAAGGATCTGTGACCGCGGAGTTCCGTGATTTAATGCGATGTTTTGCTCTTGCGTACGAATGACTTTAGATTGTTCCGTTAAACAACAGTTAACAAACCTTGCAATGAGCGATATTTTGACATAATTAATGCTGCTGCATAGATGCAGCATATGTAAATATTTAATATTATTAAACATTTTTATAAATATTAATAAAAATATTAACATAAATATTAATTTAAAAAATGGCAATTAATAATGTAACGTTAATAATGTAAGCTACGAAATACTTTTCCCTTCTTATTTTATATTTTATTTTATTTTTCTCTTCTTATAATTGTTCGATAAAAATATGCAGTTATAAACAACAAGAAAAAGATTCAACTTGTACACACAAGCATCAACGCACGATACGTGGAGCAAAAATGTGCAGTATGTGTATAATGTGACACGATGCGCAAAGAGTGGTAACGTTACACTATCGTATGATACGCGTTACTTTCCATTCCTTTCTGGGAAAAGACAACGTCAGGTTTCGTTCCTGCGTCAAATATGTAATGCCGGATTAAGTAATCGTATGTAGTCCGTCGCAGATCTCTGCCTCCCTGAGAAAGTTTATGTCTCTCGGTTAGCTTGGACAAAATGGAAAAATATTCTCGTTACTCAACGTCTCTTTCTCAATAGTATTTTCTAGTATAAACAAGTCGATACCTTCGATACAAAATATATAAATTCGCTGCAAATATATAATTTCGTTGGAAAATGTCCTTTAATATAATTTTTTATAGAATTGAGATATTTTTATATATACACGTGAAAGAAGATTTAGTATTAATAACACTATCAGTTTTTTGTATATTATATATCAGAGTATATTTATTCTTCTCTAAATTCCAAAACAATGCCAATTTTTTATATGTCCTGCAAATAATTACACACAAACTCGGAGCCGATGTCGTTTCCTTACAACATTGATTATCTGCGATTTCTTACTTCTGGATTGGAACTTCTCGCCTGCGATCAAGGAAGTTCGTTGATGCCGTTTTCTTGTTATTCGAACTTCTGTTATTCATCATCCGTGACGCGTTACTACAGTCGCGATCAAATAATTAGTTTTTAGATCGCACTTTCTTCGCGCAGTTCCTCCCGCAGTTCTACCTGTCCGCCGCAATCGAGATACATGATATTTTCTCGCTGCGTGTTCTCGTGTGTTATACTTTCTCATAATTTACTACCTGTCACGTCTGATGAATACATTCATTCGTAACAAGATAATTGATATTTGTCACTTCTGTTTTCTACACTCCATCGTCCTCATATCACCAATTTTCCTGCACTCGATAATTCGATTCTTTGTATTTTAAATAATGTCGGTCACTTTTGCGAGTAATTTGACTTTATTTATGAAAGCATCGATCTCGTAACTTTTCCATCCGACACATTTACTTCAGCTAATCACACGTTTATCTGTAAATGCCTTTACGTCAGTCACGTTGTTAATTGTACTTTCAATTATCACGATTCTTTGAATAATTAACATTCCGCATCGTCACGTCCCTGATTTCTGAGAAATGAAAATCAGCTCGGTTTATGGGAAACCGCAGCACAATTATTTAACCGCTGTCTTTTCTTTCCGACGAGAGAAGCGGGGAGAAAGAGAGGAAAGAGTGGTAGCTCATTAGATGGTGATTAATTTTCGGCCCGACACTGTGTGCACGTAATCGCGCGCCCGTGCTTTTCCTCGCGGCTGGCTACTTCCTTTATTTTCACACCGACATCCGGTCGCGCAACGCCCGCAACTTCCGGAATCGAGCAAGGAAGGGGGACAAGCGGAACAGGAGAACCCCATTCACAAAGCATGTCTGCATTAACGATAATATATTCGAGTCATCAAGTCACGTGCTTTGTCGGCGCCGAGCATACACAGCATTGACAGGATTCGCGAATTCAATGAAGCGATTTGCACACGATTGTGTACAAACGTGCGTGGAATCGTCTCGCTGGACGCGTCCCCGCGGTTGAAATTAAAAATTGTCCTAACTCTCAACAAACCGATTAAACTTCTTGTCATCTAAACGAAGATTAATTTAATATAAGATCCGCGGATTTTCCTGAAGTTATATTCTTCCCAAGTTAAAAAATCTTTATCGAAGTATTAATCATTTTTCTTATCTACGCTTTATTATTGTTGTAAATCAATTATAATCTGAGATTTGTTTTATTACTGGGCGTTAAGAAGAAGTAACAAGACATTTCTGACGTCTGATAATGTTTGACTCATACACATTAGAATGTACGGGGCATCTCTGTAAATCCTTTGATTTATAGATTTTTTATTTGATTTTTATTGACATCTCCTGAGATTTAAATAATGTTTTACAAACTATTTTATTATTATTCGCGTTACTGTTGATTTTACTTTTTCGAATATATAAATAGTGAATGACTCATATTTAGATGAATTAATTAATTTTCTAATCTCCTCCAATAATCTCAACTCTTTCATTATGATAATAATTGAAAATTAAGAAACCGAATTTTTAGTGTACATGCAAATAAATAATGAAATTCACTCGACAATCAAGAAAATATAATTTTTACTTAAATAAAATTGTTATTGTTTAGTATAAAGTTCTCAAATCTGCGTGCGATCTAATTTTCATTAAGACAGTCGATTTAAACTTAAAAAAAAATGTGTACATAAAATGAGAAGAGATAGTTGACTGCGTGAAGTTATGTTTAAACAAATGTTATTACAAAATTTTATCGGTTTCTGAAGACGCTTAAGATTATCTCAACGAAAAACGGCGTATTAAATGGCCAGTATTACACGTATTAAATGGACAGTATTACACGTATCGAGTCGAGAGCGCCAAGAGATTTCATTTACTGCGGGGAATCATGATAAGCGCTACAACTTCGCATATTGATTTACTCGTTATCCTTGGCGCATCCGCATTTACATTTTCTGCTTACAGTAAGGAAACTCCGCTTATTGTTGTCCGCTTATTCGTCTAGTTCCTTCAGAAGAAACATGTTAATTAGGACACGTACTTGTCGGAATCAGCAAAGTCCCGCATTAAATCGCAACAATCGTTACTTAATCGTTAACCGCAAAATTTTTATTGCGAATTCGATATGCATGGAATTTTTCCCCCTTTTTTGTTTTAAACGGAGCCGGAATTCTTCACGTGCTCATAATCCTCTTGTTTTTAGTTAACAAAATTATTTCCAAACAATTAGATATTTGTTTTGCTGCAATCAATATCTAATAATCAACATTTGGTAATGAAATTGATAAAAATGACAAATATAAAAAGATGGATTACAAATTGTAAACTAAAAACAAGCGCTATATTTTTCGATATTTCGTAAAACACCGATGTTACGACCATGTTTAGCGCTGCAATGTAATAGATTCAACCATCATTTGTCTTAATTAAAAATAAGAAGATAGAGCAGGAAAAAAGGGAAATGCAAAGACATTAAATTCTTGAACCTGCATCGAATTTTTACGTAATTTGAGATATTGAAAGATGCACTCACGTGTTAGTCTTAATCCGGTGCTCGTTGTATCTGCGATGAAAGTCGAGTAGTTCCTGCACCAAACCGGCCTCCAGCATACCGTCGACCCTGTTATCTAGCCTCTTGCCGAGGACTTTCTGCAAAGAATTTCGGAGAAAGGAGAGCCCCCTTATTAATTAAGCACGACGACGTCGACAGAAATCGCCCGTTAAGATACACGGGCGTTTCGAAACCGTTCGACCGCGTTTCCCAGCGCTTTGAGCCCGGGACTACTTCGTACATTAAATATTCTATCGTACGACTACGCGAATCCTTTTTTGACCCGACCAATCGAATTTTTAATAAATAAGCATTTTAATGATCAGCTTTGCCACGTGTTGCGATCGGAAAGAAAGTGTGTCGCGAAAGGAATTATGAAGACTGGCGAATATTATATATCGCATTCGATATTTAAATATAATAATTATTTTAATATTATTATAATTAATTTAATATTGCGATAAAGAGCGGTTTGCAAAATTCAAAGTGAACCTGGAAAAGTACCGCGCATACATTACAATCAATCGTCGATATATAAAACGGTCTGGAATTCGTGGGATGGATTTAGGACACCTAGCACTTACGATCAGATAGGATACTGTCGAATGTATCAGGATCGTCTCGATGTCTGTCCCTCGTTAGAGAGATCGCGATACCGTCAAGAAAAGACTGATCAATATGCGGGCTCAATATCAAGGACGATCTTTGCTATCGATCAACCATTCAACGACATCGAGAATAGCGCGGCCATTCCGTTAGAAGGAAAAAATCCGGTGTCCTTGGTAGCTGCTAAGAGAGTTTTACAATTATCTTCTAAGCGACCTCGCTAATGGCGCGCAGCCGTGTTAGAAGAAGACGGCGCGCGCGTCCTCGAACTCGACTGACGCGCAAAATTCCTGACAGATCGTGCATGTCGCTGGTTTTTCAGCGGCTTCGCACTGCCGATACGTCATCGTGGAACTTGCAAACCGCGAGGCGAATTAGACCATTTTCACGAACGATGTGTTCGCGATATCGCTGAAAGCGATCGCGTGCAATAGCGTCAGTATCGTGTCCGCGGAGTAACAGAAAAAGCACTGCCGATAATCGCGCGCGGTTTATTTCGCCAGTTAAGCAGCAAATAGACACCTTTCAAATACGAGATAATTCCCGCAATGTAGGAAGACAACATCGAGATGCGTCATGCAATTACACATAAAATTCAATGTCAAACGCGGTCTCGGTTCTTCCGCGGTTTTATTATCCAACACGTTACAAAAGGATTCGATTAAAGCGTGTAATATGAATCAGAGAGCTCGTTTTAAATTGCGTGAATAAGATTTCTCTTACGCGCGCACCGGCGATCGTGGAAATACGAGAAGTTTGGTAATAAAAATGTTGCTTCCGATTTTAGCGTTCTGTCTGGCGGATTTTTGCACTGCTCGTCGAAGGCCTTGGTCAATGACCGAGTGAAGTCGAGGCCGTACGAGTGTTCCGCGGACCGTAAAATTTAAATTAATTAAATTCAGTTTTTTTTTTTTTTTTATAATTCTTACTAACGATAAAATGATAATGCTGATAAATACTAATATAAATCGTAATGAGTGCCCGGCTGAATACGATTAAACGGCGACAATGGAACGGCTGAAACAGAATGCCTTCCGTGGCCGCGCTGCTACAATGGCCTGTAGAATGTAAAGAGTCGAAACACGGATCCGCTATCCTCACTGCTGACACAATTGCAAACACTTGTAGTTAGGTAAGCACTTCGGCAAGCAGCAATGTCATACCAAACGCAAACTCGAGCTTTAATCGAGCCGTTCGGAGTTAGTATAAGTATTAGAAAGCAGTTTCGAAGGTTTCGCTAAAATTAGCACCGAGATAACAAACAAAACTCTGAAAAGTGTATACATGTTTGGGACTACGCCAACTCGCCTAAGACAAATACTAGATTAGGAAGCGTTTCTTGTGCGAACCTGCGGGGATACTCAACGTTTCGATGCTCAAAGGCTTAAATCTTGCGAAATCTACGTTCTAAAAAGAAATCCTGTCGAATTTGTTGGCTATCGGCAAAGTGGCACGAGAAAATATTAAATCTTTGGCTTGATTAGTGAAACATATTTTTCTAGCAAAAAACCGTATTAATAAAATTCCATGTCGGGAGTAAACCAGGTTAATTAACAAAATAATTGCAAATCTCTAGGATTTTCCACAGTCTCTATGTTGTATAAATTCATTTTCGTCGGCGCCTTTACCTATATTCGGGTGAGAAATTCGGAAGGATGTTTGTTAACACCGAAAAACATAACGGAGACGCGTATACGATCTGAAGGCGGCGTCGGATCGTTCTCACGATTGTTCACGGTTAAACGCGACCTCCGCAACTCGTTTCGGCTGTGCGTTCACTTTAAATCCCATTTAAATGCCGCAGCCTCGCGCCCTACACACACACACACACACACACACACACACACACACACACACGTTCATACGTGCGCGAATGTGTGTGCTATATACACGGACTCTTCTTCTCTACTCGTTTCATTCATGCCGTGGCGCACGAACGCACCGTCGATGACGCAAACCGATGGCCAATGTCAGTATTTGACGATCACACGGTACATGCACCACTATGTGGCCCGGCTACATTCCAAGTATATCCGCGTGTGCGTCGCGATGTGTGCTCACGCCATGACGGACTTTACGACAGTTGACATTGAGATGGTATCTACGTTAAATTCGGCGATTTTTCTTTCGTGTCGAATGTAAGAGATGTGTATGATTAGTTGCATTTATAATCGCTTTGTCGGAACAGCGCTTTTGTAATTTCACCAACACAAGTACAAACTAGGGAAATTGAGGACAGCAGATATCTGCCGCTGGCTAGAACCGGTTTGATAAATTTATTTCCGTGCATATTAAATGTTTCGTAATTAAAACGGGGGCTTTGCAAGTTGTGGCCTGATCACGTTTTTATTCTAAATTCTTTAACTATTGGAATAATAAAACAGTTTTAACCCATTAATATATCGATATTTCTTATTCTTTATTTTGAATATTAAAAAGTGGAACGTAATGTCTTCCCACAAAACTTCGATTTTAAATGTATTAAGGCCTTAGAATGTATAAAATTTTAATTGATGAGGATATGTAAATTTTAATGATATAAGAGGCTTATCTCCCGAATTAAAGATTCGAGAATCCTTATAAATTTTTACGCAAAATGAATCATGTAATCGCCAAGAATTATTGTGTCCTCCGAGAAATGAAAAATTGCCGAGAAGATGGAACATTCGCAGACGATAAAATTGCCGTTTTCGCCAGACAATCCGAAATGCAAAAGTTCAAAGCCGAAACTAGAGAATCCACGTTTGCACCTAGACAAAATTTCTCATAAACCAAGGTCTCGTCAAGAAAAAAGATGAAGTGGAGAACGGAAACAAAGCAAGATAAAACTAAATGAGCGACCTTTTTTGCGACTCCACTTATGACGTGTCGTCACATTCATCATTTAGCACGTTAAAACGTTAAATTAAACGTGAACTTCGCATAAAAATATGCTTAATGTTTATAACGATGACTCGTTTGTTTAGAGATAATAATAGTTTCCTAATTGTTTTGTACTAACATTCTTATAATCTACGTTCACGAATAAAAGCTACAATTAATAAATATTCAAATTACTAAGTCACAAGAATGAATCTGTATTCTCTAAAATAATTGGGTTTTAAAATCAATCTACAACACAACGAAGCGAGTCTCTGCTGAAAACCCGTTGGGATCCGTACAATTTTATTTCACCTACTGAAAACTGCGCACCGTCCGACACCTAATTAAAATTGACGGATCGGTATTGCGGACTAATAAGAAGGGGGGAAAAAAAAAAAAAAAAGTACTCAACAGTCCAGAAAGGTAATGTTGAATGTCCCGCAAATAGCACGCGGCAGCTAACTACTTACACGCGCGGATACGTTACGTCGTATCATCGCCGCGCTTTTGCGCCGCGGCCTTCGCCGAAATCAATGATCCCGTCTGGAGGTGAAAAAGTCAAAGGCCCGGGCTACGCGCCTTCGGTCGAATTCGGTAACCGTATGCATACAAACGCGGTCCCGGCCGTTTGTCGACAACGACGATGTCGTCGTCGCCGTGGTGTGGGCGGCGCTACCGCGAATACACGATTAGATCACACGGATAAAACACGGTCGTTTTGTTTCGCGGTAAAGCGGCCGAAAACGACGCACGTGCCGGGCGCGAATTCCGCGACGTTGATGCAATTTTCGGAACGTCGGCGAGGTAGCCCGGCATTGATCCTACGGCGATCTCTCCTTCAGTTGCCCCAGACGAGGCGAAGGATAACGACATGCGTTGTCATATCTTCGAAGCGCGCGCGAAGCATCGATCATCGGCAGTCTCATGTATATTACAGCATCCTCTACGTGTATCCGGCATCACAAAATTGCAATGCATGTTTATTCATTCTGGCTCACGTTTTTTTTCCTCCCCGATGTGTAATCTGATCGTTTCTTATGATGCAAGCAGTGCGGTACGATATTGATTTGTGGGTCTGCATTCTTTTTGTTTTGTTCTTTACGTTATAAAATAATTTACCTACATATTCCGCGGAAAAGCGTGTGAAAAAAAAAACTTAGCGAGATATTCTGTATCTTTTGACGCATCTTTTGACATTTCGAGCGAACAATTCTATTTTACGTGATTTTAAAATAGAACAGAGAGAACTCATTTTGTCGCTAGCTCTACACGAGTATCAAACACGTGCGCCTGCAAAGAATTCGAAATAGTTTGCGACAAGGCCATTGACTAGCTTGCTTGCGATCTTTCAAATTTTTACGGCGAATATTACATTTTCTCTAGAATCAGCGTAATTGTTAACGCGGCACGCAAATACGGCCGATTTCACAGTTCTTTTTTTCCGCAACATGTTATAGGCTGCAGAACGAAAAAGAAACTCTCGTCCTGTAATTTGGACAAATGATTTTCGTGGAAAATCGAGCACGCCCACGGCATCGGCCACGCTGCTTTCGTGCGAATCTGGTCGTTTGCGTCGATTTTTCAGGTCCACAAGAAAGAATCGCTGCGAGGGGCAGCGAAATAAAAGGCC